TGATCGATGCATCCAGGTCGGAAACATCATCGACCCCCGTGAAGCAGCCACGGAATAAGTCATCCCCTTCGCAGGCCGTTCTCACATCGGGGCTCTCCATAGCCTGGGCCTCCCGAAATTACCCCTCAGAAAATGTAGGGAGAGGCGGCGAATCATCAATATTGATTGCCCCAAGCAAGACACTTGGGGCACTCTCTCCTTTTCGGAGGGCCTTAGAATCGGACCCTTCAGGCACACCTACCGATTGTTCGTCATGACGGACAGGTACACTCGCCGGTTGTTCGTCACATTCGGAGACATCTTCATCCCCCGATGACTCGGGGACTTTGCTCGGACCATCTTCGAATATCTCCTCGGTCCGAAGATGAGCCTCTTTGACCATCATCGGCTCAACTGCTTTTAAAGCTTCGACGCTTTCCCTCTTTCAAGACACCAGCTCACAGTCAGCATCTTCTCTCTCCTTTTCTTCATCTTGTAGTTTTTAGGCTACGTCGCTGGACAAAGCGGCGGAGTCATTCTTCGACTTACGAACCTTGCACTTCTTAGCTTTGGAGTATCTGAAGGTGAGACCCTTCTCCTCTTCTTATCCTTAGCCGATTTCGGGGCCTCCTCTTCCCCAGGCGGGGGTGGCCTCATTTCGGCAACATCCCCGAGACCTGCATAAAAGGGAATCAAGTACAAATGAAAAGAAACATTTCAGAAAAGAACATCAAAAGCGTATGAGTAAGCTTATCATGATTCTTGGCCTCTCATCGGCCCCTCACTAAGTCTTTCCATGAGCACTTATCATATGTAAAAGTTAAAGCCAGCTTCCGAACCTAACTTTCGAGGTTCGGGATTGCACCGGGCACCCAGGGAACCGCTACATCATAAGAAAAGACGTGGGTGAGAAAAGATGTGGGTGAAGGAAGATAAAAGAAATAAAGCAATCAACATAAGATGTTGATGGGTTTGTACTTACACTTCATGTTCCATTCCTCGCGGAATGGCATCTTCTCGGCCGGTATTATGTCGGAGGTCCTCACTCGGACAAATCGACTCATCCATCCCCGATCCTTGTCCTTGTCTGTACTCAAGAACATCACCTTGTTGGCTCGGCGATGGAGCCTTATTAATCTGCCCCGATAGAGACGAGGGATATACAGTCTAATGAGGTGGTCGAGGGTAAATGGAATCCCTTCGACCTTGCTCACGAAGAATCGGAGCAAGATAACAATGCTCTAAAAGTAAGGGTGTATCTGGCCAAGAGTTATTCGATATTGGCGGCAGAAGTCGAGAATAACCGGATCAATGGGACCCAGCATAAAAGGGGTAAGTGTAAATACTTAAGAACCCTTCTACATAAGTGGTGATGTCCACTTCAGGGGTAGGAATCACCACCTCTTTGTTTTCCCAGTGGCAATCTTTTTTCACCTGATCGATATCGCCTTCGGTTATCGAGCATATATATATCTTGACATGGGCTCACATCGGCCAGGGGACGAAGAGGGTTTCTCGACTTTGAAGTGGAGGTAAGATCGCACGACCCCGGAACACATTCCTCGATGCGTGGCTCCATAGGCGTTTTATCGCCGGCCGACCGAGATGAAGAAGCTTTTTCCTTTTGGGGAATGATTTTAGATGCTTCTGCCATTTCTATGCGAGTTAACAAAAAAGAAGAAGATGAAGTTTGTTTTTTTAGGAGAGGATTGGCAAGCGGGACGTAAGTAATTTGCAGAATTGGGGAACTTGAAGGAAGGAGAGCTTTGAAGATTAAGAAAGATTTTGAAAATAAAGTTTGAGAAAATTATGAAGAGGATCTATTTATAATATTGCTATGGCGATTTGAAAATAATAGTGGTTGACCATTAACTGACACTAATTAATGGTCTTGGGAACTATGTAGACGCGAAGCTTCAGTCGCCTTTGCCGCTTACGTCACGAGGGTGACGCCGTAATGGGTCAATGTACAAAATTGAGGACTCAGTTCGTTTCTTCTCATTACACTCCAAGAAATGAGGAGACTATCTGTATATGGGTAAAATTGGGCTTGCCTGATTTTGCCATTATTTCGAGACCAGAGAACTGCATCGAGGGTCATCCTCGTAATGGGTCAGGCCTGAGCACGAAGACAAGGTACCGAGTTCGGAGATCGAGGCACCCATCGAGATCGAGGTCCCCGATGATCGAGACTAGATATGATCAGCTTCAGGCGAAATGCAATAACGGAAAAGCAAAATATCCGTAACTGGTCGGAGATCACGGCAAAAATCTCGGAACGGATCAAATCAAGGGGGTTATTTGTATCAATCATGAGATTTACTTCCGTAATTAGAATTGTACCACAATTAGGATTCCTCTAGTATATAAAGAGGGGTCCCCATCATTTGTAAATACCTTACATTCATACAGATCAAGGCAATACAATATTTCTTTATTGTTCATCAACTTATTGTTCTTTAACTGTTCTTATTTCACTATTCTCGAGTGTTCATCAGCTTGTGGGCATTGTCCAAGCATTGGTTTGTTTTATATTCTTGTCAATTCCCATCACTTATCTCTAAATTAATCAATTGGTATTAAGTGAAATCACGTATTCTTAAAATCACATTATAAGTTTAATTGTTAATCATTTTTTAGGGTAAACAATATTAACAAAATGTAAGTTACCTATTGATACTGTTTTTTTAAAATAAAAATATTGTTAGTGTGCATGATTTAAACCGTTTTAAAGTGGATATTTTCAAGATAATTGTGGATATTGATAATTTTGTACTAAAGCCAAAACTAATAGTTGTTGTTAATTGCCTTTGGCGATGAACTGTCAAGTTGGAGGAAGTAGAAGAAATAAAAGAAGAGAACATCGTAGAATTTGAACCTTACACTTAAAGACATACACGAAAAGTTGCAACCACTAGACTATAGTTACAACCGACAACCAAATTAATAATGTTATTAATTCTTCTTTTTAATGTATTTGTATTCTTTAAGAATAATTAAAGGTAGAATCGGAAAAATAATAATTTACCCTTGAACTTTTAAAATGATAAATAATTTGATACAACTATTTTTAAAAATCACGATAGATAATTTGAGACGAAAAGAGTAAGTAACACCATCTAACTTCAAACCACCCATACAAATGTTGTTGCAACTGCAACAGGTTCATTTAATTTGGATGTGTTTTTTCCATGTATGGGAATAAACCAATATTCCATATGAAACATCAAACTAGTTTTTTGTTTTCTTTTAGGAAAATAAATTTTGGTGGTGCTTCTCATATAATTCAATTTTAAAATTAAAGGAAAAATTGGCGAATGGCACTTGGCTTTGCCATAATAAAGGCAAGTTACTGAAGATGCCACTTCCATCCAGCCAATGACATGAAAGAGAAAGCCACAAACCAATTCCCCGTTTGTGTGCCAAACACAGTGAAAAGGACCCCGGCCCGTTCTTGACTTTTCTGTCAGTTGGTCTTCAAATATTTATTAGGAAAATATTAATTATGTCCAATTATAAGTAACTTATTATAAAAATTAATTAATTTATAAAATATTAGCTAATTGGCTATTTACATAAAAAAAAAAGTCAATTTTTGCTTTCTTTTGAGCGTTTGTTACTGGAATAGATTGGGTACATCTTAGGGAGCTTGAATCTGAGTTTTGAGATGATTTGGTAGAGTTTTTAGTTGAATTAAAATTCGAAATAGAAGATGAACATGAGAAAAATAATATGTGTATCACATTATGTATCAGATTTGTATTAAATGTGTATCATACGTATATCCATGTATACCTGCGTATGAGATATGTGCGTGATACATTTTGATACATGTGCCCTCCGATGAATTTTTTGAACTCGATTTTAACTACGAATTTTGATAACAATTCAGTCCAAATCACCTCCAATCTTCCTCAAATTTTGTATATTGACTCATCTATATGTTTTCAATGAATATCAACCATACCCATTGAAAAAAAAGCCTTTTTTACTTAGATTTTTGGAATCTTGTATATATATATTTTTTTGTATTTTCATCACCTTATTTGCTACCTCATCCATGAAATTCCTTTCCGTCTTGCATCTAATGCTGCTAATCAGGTTTAAAAATATGAAAGGAGATCTTTGTGTGTGATTCTTTGAGAGAAAGAACCTTATCTATTTGGATTTTTAATTTTTATATGTGTTTGGCTTGTTTTGATAAGTCTATGATTAATGGGTAGAGGTTAGTAAGTTTGGACTTTTTTGGGACATTTGTGTAAGATTCCCTATTTATTATCCTGATCCGAGTTACTTAAAACTCATAAACTGAGTGTTAGCATTGTGTGGCAGATTGAAAAAAATAGGAACTTTTAGTAGTATTTTAATCAAGAAATTAAATGTTAGAACCCACTGAAATTGTGTCTTAAGTGGTTAGACACTTTCCCGACTTACTCTTTCTAGTGTGTGTATTTGATGACAATGCTGCTTCAAATTGTTTCTCAAGATGGCATCATAATATTGTTTACAGATATATGTAGGTTTACATGTTTCAACTAAGTCAAATATTGGTGTAGTGATTTTGGATAGCTAAAGGATAGATTTTCGATTCAGTTAATTGGGAAGGGCGATAAGGTTGATCTTAGACGGCTTGTGGTTAATGTAGAGTCCACACTACCCTTACTGTTTTTCATAGCTCCGGACCTTATTTGCTGGTTATTGTTATTGTATGTCATCTATTTTATGGTTTTTAGGATATTTTCACTATTTTTATGATTTATGTTGACGATACTGATGAATTGTCTCTTCTTGTTTTATTTCCATCTTCCTGAGCCGAAGGTCTATCGGAAACAATCTCTTGGCTCTATCGGGATAGGGGTAAGGTCTGCGTACACACTACCCTCTTCAGACCCCACTTTGTAAAATTTTATTAGGTCGTTGTAGTTGTTGTTAGTTGGGGAAGGGCATGAATCTTGAATTGCTTGCTATAAAGGAAAGCTCATAAGCATGCAATGATTTGTTTGAAGCAGTCAGTCTTGCCAGGTACAGAAAAGGAAAACAATAGTGGCCAGGTTTCTTTAGTTGTCAAGGGTGGAGATAACCGCAAGAATGACTCAAATGTCTAGTCCTCTAGAGAGAGTTACATATTTTAATAGCAGAACAACATGAGATTTTCCTAATGCTATCCTTCCTTAAACAACCTCTATACAAACTCCCCTCACCCTTTTCAAATCAACTCATTTTACAAGATAATAAGTACTCCTACTAACTATGATTTTCTATAGTCGCTTCTCTTTTTTCGCTCTTCTTGGCCGCTTCGCTCAACGGCCAGAAACAAATAATGAATTGGCTGATAATTGGTTCCCTTCAATCTGAATTTTCTTAGCTTTTGCCTTGTCCAAGCGTGCCCGTCTTACAGCTTCTTGGACATGGCGGTCGTGATCTTTCAACATCTGATCCATTTTGCCTGATGGAACTAGTAGTGGCCCAGAATAGTGAATTTTGTTGCCTTTTGATCCATATCCCAGCTGAACATGAAGAATGAGCAAATTAGACTACGGCTAAAACCATCATAGGTTTCGAAAACATATAATGTGAATATGTTGATAGGCTTCTTACAAGAACAGGATCATTGTTGCTGGTTCTACCATCCTCATTTTGATGTGAGCTCGCAAGTGAATGATTTTTCTGCTCTTGTTTCATCGCGGAATGTGAGACCTCTTTGAAGGATCCAGGAAACCTGGCTATAAGTTTAGGAACCTCTTGTTTATGTGGACCAGACTTGTCTGGCCGATCTTCAGAGAACATGCTTCTCCTCGCAGCGACTAGACCAGACATAGCTGACAAATCCGCAACAGAAAGTTTTGGGGCATCTTCCATATTCTTTCCAGCTTTTGCCCAGGCAGCTCGGTGAGTCAATGGCCCGGAATGGGAACCTCGCTTATGCAGCCGCGCTTGAGGATCATTGTTTGCTTCTTCCACAACCTGAGATGGTCTAGGGGGATCAATTGGAAAACCAGAGGCAACTTCTTCCTGATGAGAGTTGAACATCTCACTTCTGCTTTTTGAATTGGATTGACCTTGCCTTTTCTGCATAGAGTGTGCCAAACCACATGAATACAGAACAAATTAACAAAAAATTGTAGTTTCAAAGTTTGAACAGGACAAGCTAAGGATAGGCAAGACTAGATAATTGGAACACCAAAAGTGCTATTAATTTCTAAACAACACAAAGGTTAAGCCGTTGTAATGCTAAAGAGTGAGGAAAATGGTTGCTGAAGAAGTGAAGATACTAATATGCGGAGTACTCCTTTCTACAGAGCCAGCATGCAATTGTACTAGCATTTATCAACTGATCAACAACTGAGCCTTTTCTCTTCCATGCTCTCATGTTTTAAAGCTTAAATGACTAGATGCCGCATGCACGACCTCCTCTTCCCAAGCACCCACCAAAAAAAGAAAAAAAATCTGATTGTTGTGACCAGCTGTTAAGCGATATAGAGTAATTTCATGGGCATAATAAGAGAAGATTCCAAGGTTACTTGGTTTGTTCAAGTCGGTGACTCAGAGAAAGTAGTATTTTACCCCATGGGCAGATCAATGTCTTATCGTAAAAGATTACCTGCATAGATGAAACTAATTCAGCATTGGCTTCGGGTGCAGGGACTGCACGCGATTCTCTCGTTCCTCTCCTTTCTAGGTCATATCTATGACCCTTGTTTCCAGCTGCCGCTTGCCTAAAAAAGCATTGATATTATCAGCATACAAACAAGACCACATCAACCAACACATCAATTATATCTTAATGACCATCTGTAACTGACAATTCTGGAGCACATGAAATAAGAAGCTGGCTAAAACATATTTATGTTTTCTGCTAAACTGCTACATTTACCTTCGAGCTTCTTCATCCCGCACTTTAGCATCAAATTCCTTGCTCGGAGGATATTTTGGCAAGCTCAAAGGATCACAAGGAAGTGGCTTTGTTGTAAAAAACTGAAATGAAGCAGGCTGGATAATCAAAAATTTGAAAATTGTTGTCTAATCATGGCCATTTGGGCTCCATAGCATCAAAATGGATGAAGAAAACAGAAAAAACGTAATAAATTTCAAGACAAAGCACCAAGGAGGCACTATCATCAAATTAGTATCTAAGAACACAAGACAGTTCAACTCAGATAAAGCGACATGTCCTTTTGATACAAATTGCAAATAGTGAACTTTTAGTATTGAGGTAGGGGTAAGGTCTGCGTACACACTACACACTACACTGGGTTTTTTGTTGTTGTTGTTGTTGTTTAGTATTTGCATATAATGAAATATTATTTATAGCCAAACAACTCTAAGAAGATTTGATCTTTAAGAAACTTCATACCTCACTCTTCAAGGCAGAGGCTGATGACCCACGATCGGCAGGATCTATTGAAAGTAAAGTTTCTATAAGTGCTAGTGCTGGTGCAGGAAACTCTTTAAATGTTTCTGCAACACAACGCCTATAAGGTTGTTGGGGCTTGAAGATTGTTGCATGGGGCAACCTCGATTTCCTCCAGTACTCCTCAGAAGGTGATCCACACAGTTTGAAAATCTTATGAAGCTGCTCAACCTACAGCACAGATTATGCACTTTGCTTTTATGACATGTTAAGCTAGAATGCAAGATTAATAGATAGACAATGAAAATAGTTATACAAGAGAAAATAACTACGGATAGGATAAGTAACAGGCCAATAATGTTGAGTAAAGACACAATTAATGTTCCCTGTCAGAGAAAATTCAAACTACCATCAACTGTTCATCATATCAGACTGCAAGATACACCTAACAGGATGACAAAGGATCAATAATGATTAATGAGTAAATGAGCTTCAAAAGAAGTATACAAGACCATATGCTACAACACCTATGGCATCCTAACCTTTCAAAGACACGTCAAAATCACATAGTTGAGCAACTTCCTCGCATTTCACTATCGAAGGAGCACCAATATCATTTACATTCTCAAACTTCCAATGGTAACTCCATATACCAGGCAGTGGAAAAATGAAAAACTATCATCCATGAGCCAAGACCAATTTGTCGTACACTGCAATACTAACCATCGACTAGCTTCCTAAGAAGCCACTACTACTTTTTTTATCAAGCAATGAAGCCAGTACTTCCATTTCAAAGTTGAAGTCACCATGGCCACACCAAGTAAGAACAAAAGAAATGCTGAAGTTCACATCCTAACTCACTTGTATCACATAGGCACTCTAAGTAAGATGGTTAAGGTATTTTAAAGAAATATACGCTAATAGGATGCTTCAAAATTCTCAGGGCTGGTATGATTTTCTCTATTGACAATGGTTTTGAACCTTCTCTAAAATGAAGTGTGATTTACTGATGGATTTCACAAAGAACTGTCTTATGTGTCGCCAGTATCAAGAACCAGAAAGCAGGATACCAGCAAATGACAGTACAAACTCCACAATTTGGATAACTGGTGCATTGAACCTACAACAACAACAACAACAACAACCCAGTATAATCCCACTTATTGGGGTCTGGGGAGGGTAGTGCGTACGCAGACCTTACCCCTACCCTGGGATAGAGAGGCTGTTTCCAAATAGACCCCCGGCATCCTTCCCTCCAAGAACTTCCCACCTTGCTCTTGGGGAGACTCGAACTCACAACCTCTTGGTTGGAAGTGGAGGTTGCTTACCATCAGAGCAACCCCTCTTGTCTAAGAGGTGCATTGAACCTATGAGCTCAAAAGACCCTGACTATATTTGATTCCTAGTAACTCTTAAGCAAAGCATTGGTAACCATTATGATATTCAGCCATGGGACCCTGATGTATTCTATTTTGATATCAGTAAAATGGGTACAATACAAAAAAACAAAAACAAAAGATTAACAAAGAACATACCTCCGTTCTTCCTGGCATTATTGGCTTGCCAGCATAAAGTTCTGCAAGTATGCAACCAGTGCTCCACAAATCCACAGCAGTCCCATAGTAAGTAGCACCGAGTAGCAGTTCGGGAGGTCGATACCAGAGAGTCACTACACGGCTAGTGAGAGGCTGGCTTTGATGAGGATCAAAAAAGCTAGCAAGACCAAAATCAGCAATCTTCAATATGCCATTATTGTCAATTAAAAGGTTGGAGCCTTTTATATCACGATGTAAAACACCACGACTGTGACAATGATCAAGTCCACATAAAAGTTGCTGCATGTAACATTTGACCTACAAAAGGCAAATACAGTTTTCCACTTAGGCGAACAAACAGAATAAACCATGGAAAAAAGAATTAATGAAATGAAAAGAGAAAGAGAGCCAAGCTCTTCCTTCCTCGTGAACAGGTTATAAAAAAGTGAGCAAATTCAGAGGCATATTTATTTACATGCAAGAACACAATCTCACAACAGGAAGCCAAGTGAGCATCTCCATTGATACAAGTCAAAGGTAAGACTATCAGGATTTTCAGCGGTAAAAGTTTAACTGGTAAAACAGATAATGTAATTTGCAAAAGCATTAAGTGGATAGATACTGAAAGCAAATTCAAATACCTGTGACTCAGTAAACTTAAGACCAGGGTGTGACGCTAACCCTGCCAAATCATGCTCCATGTACTCAAATACAAGGTATAGGCTGCAAGACATCCTAGAAGTAACTAAACCTTCTAATTTTATTATGTTTGGATGATCAAGCCTCCGTAGTATGTGAATCTCCCTCGCCATGAACCGAACACTCTCAGGTTCTAGCTTATCAAATCTCACTTTCTTCAAAGCGACGATCTTCCCTTGATCAAGATCACGAGCACGGTAAACATTGCTGTAGGTGCCCTGACCAATCTATGGAGCCATTAAACGAAGTATCAAGTTAGCCTCATTCACGCATCAAGTATATCAAAAAGTGAACAAATCACACAATGTTTTAGCCACTCCATTTGAAACTAACAAAGGCATAAAATCTTCCCCTGTGAAAATACTAGTTGAGCACTGGTATGCTAGTATTGCAGAATAGCTGTGACAGTAAACAGTAGCAATTTTCTGCAATTATCATCTGACCAGATACTTACTAAGGGGTCGTTTGGTTGGAATACGGCTTATGCCGGTACNTTTGATTTTCAAATCTGTCACTGGGATTTCCGTTGACTGGATTGCTGGTTATTATTGTTGTTGCCGTGTTACGTACTACGTGGCTGACTTTCTTCTTCTTATATTGACAATACCAGGTACACAACTGCAATTTTGGCCTTTCTGTAAGCTGAAAATGAAGAATGGAAGTTTAAATTTTTTATTTAGTTTTTTTTATTAATTGCATTTAGGTTATTTCATGTATTATTATTCTGTAAATCGCCGTTGTTTTGCATAATTAGGCATATTGTAGCGATGTATTAAATAATGCTTTGCTTTAACCTGATTATTAGGTAGTATATATTTAAGCATGTTCATTACTG